CTATTCTCTGTACCCCACACATACAATTATCTGTGTAAGGTCCCACAGTCGAGCAGTGAATTTCAAACACAGATTCAACATCAAAGACCAGGGAGTTTTTCCAATGCCTCGCAAAGAAGGGCACCTATTGGTAGATGGGTAAAAGAAAAAAGAAAACACTAATTGAATATCCCTTTGAGCATGGTGAAGTTATTAAATACACTTTGGATGGTGTCACTACAAAGATACACCCAGTCACTACAAAGATACAGGCGAACATCCTAACTCAGCTGCCGGAGAGGAAGGAAACCGCTCAGGGATTTCACCATGAGGACAATGGTGACTTTAAAACAGTTACAGAGTTTAATGGCTGTGATAGGAGAAAATTGAGGACGGATCAACAACATTGTAGTTACTCCACAATACTAACCTAATTGACAGAGTGAAAAGAAAGAAGCCTGTACAGAATACTGAGCCAATCACAGCACAACTAGAGAAGATGACCAACCCCTACGCTCTGTATTTTCCGCTGCCTGCCCGTCCACCACAGAAAGCACAGAGTGAAAAGAAAGAAGCCTGTACAGAATACTGAGCCAATCACGGCGCAACTAGAGAAGATGACCAACCCCTACGCTCTGTATTTTGCGCTGCCTGCCCGTCCACCACAGAAAGCACTGAGCTAGGCTGAAACATCCGCATTTTGGAGCTGCCTTACTCAAGAAAGCAAAAAAGAGACCATGTTTGTATGCAGCTTCATTAACTCAATATTTAATTTTTAATTGTTTGCAAACTGGTATGTGACATGTAGTAATGCCAAAATAACATGCAGAACAGGCGGGGCTCAAAACAGGCCCTGAATGACGGGTTGCCACTGCAAAACATGCATCCTGTTTGCAACAAGGCACTAAAGTAATACTGCAAAATATTTGGCAAAGCAATTAACTTTTGGTACTGAATACAAAGTGTTATGTTTGGGGCAAATCCAATACAACACATTACTGAGTACCACTCTCCATATTTTCAAGCATAGTGGTGGCTGCAACATGTTATGGGTATGCTTGTAATCATTAAGGACTGGAGAGTGTTTCAGGATAAAAATTAAACAGAATGGAGCTAAGCACAGGCAAAATCCTAGAGGAAAACCTGGTTCAGTCTGCTTTCCACCAGACACTGGGAGATGAATTCACCTTTTAGCAGGACAATAACCTAAAACACAAGGCCAAATCTACATTGCTTACCAGGAAGTCTGTGAATGTCCCTAATGGCTGAGTTTTCTTCTTGAAAATCTATGGCAAGACATTAAAATTGTTGTCTAGTCTAGCAATGATCAACAACCAATTTGACAGAGCTTGAATAATTTTGAAAATAATTATGGGCACATATTGTACAATCCAGGTGTGCAAAGCTCTTAGAGACTTACCCAGAAAGACTCACAGTTGTAATCACTGCCGAAGGTGAATCTAACATGTATTGACTCAGGGGTGTGAATACTTATGTAAATGAGATATTTCTGGATTTCATTTTCAATACATTTGCATAAATGTCTAAAAACATGATCCATTATGAAATCAGGCTATAACACAACAAAATGTGGAATAAATCAATGCATTCTGAAGGTACTGTAGCTATCAACTTCTGTACTGCTTGAGTGCTTGATAAGTTGTGACTCACGGGAGCGTAGTGGTGCTTGAATGAAGGCCAATCATGGGTGTGTTCGTAAATTCACAGTGGTAATTTACTCCGATTTTAGAGCACTCTGGTTTGAGAGTGCCAGAGAGCAGAATAATTGGTTGTTATGACAGGTGTAAGTAAACATCAGCTAAAAAACTGAATTAAATTCTTGCTATAACACAGTTACAGTCACTACCCCTCTAGATAAGATGAAAACACTCTAACCAGCTCTGCTAGGGCGAGTAAAATGTTCAGAGTGACGTGTTCTCTCATTTGTATCTGGAAGTAGCTAGACAACTTTAGCCAGTTAGCTTGGGTGCTTGACTGCCTTTGTGAGATCAGAACACTCAGAACAACCAAATATTTTATAACTAACCCAACATAGACCAGAGTCTGTCATTTCCAATGGGAGCAAATTAATCATAGTGGGCAGAACAAGCAAGGAGGTGGGCAGAGTCAAGCACAAGCTAGTGAGATCCTATTGGTGCGTTTTAACATTTATTTGCATCTTGCCATTAGGGAATGCCTACTCTGTGAAGTACACATGTGCAATAACTCAATTCGCCCTTGCACTCCTTCTAAACAACGCAATTTTTAGAAACTTTGGGTAAAGTCTACAAATGCAGTCCACTCTGTTTGTTACAGATTCTAGTTTTGGAAACAGTACATTTTATGGAGATCAAAAGTTTCATTGATGAGAAAATTAGCAGAATGTCGGCCAAAATTCATCTCATTCCATCTTCTCCCACTGCCGGCTGCTGGGCTTCCTTTCATCACCATATTTGGTAGTGAGTGGAAACACCAACCGGATGCTTCCCTTTTATACATCCAGTGAAATATCTAGTTCATTGTTTTATCTGTGGATCAACCCTACTCCTCGGCCAGAACGCCATATTGCTCAAATACAAATAGCACAACATTTCTGCATGTAGTCTTCAATGGTTTTCAATGGTAGACTGCGACAGATCAGGTAAATGTTGAACTGGAACACAAAAATGCACGGAGAAGTTACTGGCCATGTCGGTGCTGCTGCTTTTGAAAAGTACTGGGGCAAATGCTGTCTTGCCACACGTTTTCCAGCGGCTCTGTAAATGTGCAATTTTATGGTGAACAAATTGCTTCCCCAAACTCACGGGACGCCTATGGATGTCGACATTTGAAGTCAGCCTTGTGGTGACTTGATAGCGTGTATTATGCATCCACAGTATTTCACGTTGCACTGTAAGTAAATGAGTCAATTTATGATGTGGTTGAGTAGTGTTTGACATTGTATATGTGGTTCCACAGTCCCTTTAAACCTAATATTGCAGTGTTAATGGCTGGGGTCATTTTTGTTTGTTTTTGCTGTTCTCTAAATATCATTCTAGAGTTTTTAAATTGTGTAGAAATGCAGTAAATGAGCTTCTCCATCACTGGGGCCGTGTTCCCACCCATCCAGGACATCTACTTGATGGCTGAGGAAGTCCAGCAGCATCATCAAGGACCCCACAGACCCTAGCCACGAGCTGTTCTCTCCTTTACCGTCGGGCAGACGGTATCGGAGCATGAGGTCTGATACCAACAGGGTCAGAGACAGTTTCTTTCTACAAGCCATCCAACTGCTGAACACTTGAACTAGACTGACCACCTGCACTTACTCTCCACACTTTAGCACACATGCACTCACTCATGCACACACCCAGACAGACACACATCCACACACACACACACACAAACATATACAGTACATTCATGCTACACACACATCAGAATTGCTGCAACCAGACTCTTACTTCCTATAGCTAATACTTGCCCCCCAATCCCCCCTTTCTCTGATACATGTGTGAATATTGTACTATAAATTGTGCTTCCCTGTATTATACTCATGCAAAAATGTTTATTCTATTCTACTGAGCCATTTACTTTATGTTCCTATTCTTATCTTTTATTATTTCTTATTATTGTTGCATTGTCGAGAAAGAACCTGCAAGTAAGCATTTCGTTGGATGGCGTATATCATGTGTATCCTGTACATATGACTAATAAAATGTGAAACTTGAGGATATTAACTAATTGAAGCTTACATCTGAGATCCATAGTAGCACCAGAGTATCTAGACAGGTGTGTGCACAAATACTATATTGGCCGGGGAACTCATCCCTGGCAGATTGGCCAAAAATGGGAAGGGAAATTGATCATTCATGACCACATGGCATAAAAATGGGGAGTAAATTGAGTTTGGTGGGAAATAGCAGGACACTGCAGCCACATCAGAATGATTTAGAGCAGCCTGCCATCCCTGCAGTGAACAATGCTTTATTGAATGCCTGGGTGGGATGTGATTATAATAATGCTTGGCTGAAAGTGATGAAATTAGAATGATTCATCAGCCATTGATTGAACTGCTGTGTTTTGCCTTCCACTTCAGGGAAAGAACTTGGCCTCCACTGGGCATTTGTGATGGATGAATACACATTAAAACTTAGAACACATGCAGTGAAAGTGCAGTGCTTTGTGCATTTGTTTGTGTGCATGTGTGCATTTGTGAACGTGTGTCTTCATTTCTGATTTATGCATAGCTCATGAGGTGTTATAAATGGGCTCATAATGCATTATGAAGAGTGGAATTCATAGGAAATGTTACCAATTATACTATTGTAACATTGTGTGACTATCTAATGAATATTCAATCCTGGAAAGAAATAACCATGGACACATGGAGATAGAGTTCAACTCTGCAGATGGATTGGTGGGATTCTTCTATCCATTGAGCCTTATTGCTATAGGGGGTCATTTATTATAAAAAACATTGCGATACTGGTATCGTCACAGCCCTACTATATACCAATGTGGCAGTTGTACTAAATTCCTAAGGCATAACGTTCTTAAAAAATCTATGTGCATCATTAATTAAAATGACAATTCAACGGTAAAGAGGCATGCTTAGATAACCTATGCAGAAAAATAGACATTTATGTATTTATTTTATTTATTTTTACATATAATTAGGCATAATGATTATGGCTCTACATTGCAGGAAAGAGCTGTTTCAGTTGTTTGAAAAATGCAAAATTCTCTGAATTGGTTCTTTGACTGAACCTCAACATGGAATATTCCACCTCCAGCTAGACTTGGGGGTGGGTGCAGAATAAATGACCTGTGGGGGGCACACAAGCAACTGTTGCAGAGGACAGCTGTCATACACTGACGTCTCTAAAGACATGATCATACAAAACATTGGCACAATGATCTGAACTAAAAGCGCACAAGATGGAAATGGAAATGTTTTAAACCGATTATTTGACTTGAATACTGTATTTCAATTTCTTGTTTACTTTTTCAGATACGTTTTTTGCGGGAATACTACAATCATGTCCTCCTCTTTGGTGAGTCAAGACAAATCTTAAATCTTAAAACGCTCAAGATTTTTATTTTATTTTAGCAGAGGCTCTTATAGCTGATGTTTATGATCAAGTGTTCTCCCATGCAGGATCATCTGAAGACAGATTGGACAATCAAGTCACTCCCACAGCAATGCACAGAGATGACAAAAGAAATTGACGATAAACCTGTCAAGGTAGCTGAACAATCTACTGAATTATACTGCATCTAGAGATGATGTGAATACTGTGGTATCGTCCTCATTCATTTCACTATATCACAGTATTGCTGTTGCAACTTGCAATACTATGGCTAGCTACTATACTAACTTCCATCAAGACGTTGTATTTGAATGTTTTAACATAAGTGGGTTATGTATTCACACACATTAGTCATTTAGTAGACACTCTTGTCAACTTAGTGAGTACATACACTTTCTTACTTTTTTTCTCATATTGGTCCTTTGTGGGAAACAAACCCATAACCCTGGCATTACAAGGGCCATGCTCTACCAACTGTACCACACGGGACTTACTCACATGATACAAAATGTGGTAACCTTTACCTCGTTCTGTGTAGAGTCAGGTAAAGGTTACCATATTTTGTACCACAAATTGAATTCAAGCGGTAAGAAAAAGTAGTTGCTTGCTAGTGGCCATGTGTAGAGTAAATGTCAGAGAGGATCAGCCAGTTGCTGTTTCAGGCTGATGTAGACAATGTGATACTGTGACTGTCTGGACACAGCCATTCAGACAGCTGTAGAACCATGTACATATGCTGCTTCCTGTTGCAAATTGTCCTCTAGCTCCTCAGTATGCAAAGATTTCAGATTTTCACTGTGTCATAACACAACTCCTCTTCAAATCAGGTAGTGTAGCCTATACATGTATAAACTGAGTGAGGGGTGTGTTAATGATGCTGTTTGGCCTCCATACAGGAGCTATGTGGTATCTTCCCCTGGCTGGTGGAGAGGGTTGTTGGCAGCCTGGATGGCAGCATTGTTGGTTGGAGTCTTTCCTCCCTGCAAGCCCACAGCAGTGACTACAGCAATGTACTGGAGTTCCTACGACCAAGGTGGACCTGTCTGTGATTTTAGACATTCCACAACTTGCTATCGATAATATTATATTACTAATGTGTATTGCACCTACAGCAGGGCTCTCCAACCCTGTTCCTGGAGAGCTACCCTCCTGTAGGTTTTCGCTCCAACCCCAGTTGTAACTAACCTGATTCAGTTTATCAACCAGCTAATTGTTAGAATTTGGTGTGCTAGATTAGGGTTGGAGCAAAAACCTACAGGACGGTAGCTCTCCAGGAACAGGGTTGGAGAGCCCTGACCTACAGTATACTAATAAACATGGGAGTTTTCACCAACATACAATATTTTGCAGTGGCCCAATGCTGAAACTTGTTTATAAACTTCAAGCTGAAGAATACAACTTTGAGATCCAAGTCGCCAGTTTACCTGTAAGTTTTCTATAGAGGCGAAAGAAACGCACACCTATTTAGGCGAGGTGCTGGCTAACGGAGTAAAACACTTAAAAAAGAAAAGGAAAGCCGCACACTAAGTTTTCAACATACAGTCACATCCAAAATTATTGGTACCAAGCTGTATTGTATGCAAAATTATATTATTTTATACTAATACAATTGCTCAGAGAAAGAGATTTTGTTTAACAAGTATTTGTATTTATTATGGATCCCCATTAGCTGCTGCCAAGGCAGCAGCTACTCTTCCTGGGGTCCAGCAAAATTAAGGCAGTTATACAGTTTTAAAAACATTCCAATACATTCACAGATTTCACAACACACAAGTAAAAAAAAAGATAGGTGTTAAAATTATTGGCACCCTAATGATTCTTATAAATAAAATCAAACAATTTAATCTGCATTAACATTCTACTGTTTTAAAGAAACTGTTTAACAAACTGTATTGTGGCCTTTCATGGCTTCCTGTTTCACTGGGGTGTAAAAATTTGGTAGCACACATGTAAAATCCATTTGTCATCCATCACCATGGGGAAAGGCAAAGAACTCACAAATTAAAAGAGAGAAATGGTTGGTGACGTTCATAAGTCAGGCAATAGGTACAAAAAAACTACAGAAAAACCACATATATCACTTACCACTGTTAGGGCAACAATTACAAAGTTTAAAACCACTGGAACGGTGGTAAACTTGCCTGGTAGAGGACCCAAGTGTATATTTTCTCCACGCACAGTGAGGATGATGGTTCGGAAGACACAGACTAGTCCAAGGGCCATAGTTGGAGAATTACAGAACTTGACCTGAAACTTGGCAAGTTGATCTTCCAGCAAGACAATGACCTCAAGCACACATTCAAATCCACAAAGAAATGGTTAATTGACCAGAAAATGAGTCTCCCTTGAAAACCTGTGGTTTGAAGTATCTGGAAAGGATCTGGAAAGATTCTCTATGGAGGAATGGTCTAAGTGTCACGACTTCCACCGAAGTTGGTGCCTCTCCTTGTGCGGGTGGCTATCGGCGGTCGTCGTCACCGGCTTTCTAGCTGCCACCGATCTACGTTTCTGTTTTCCAGGTTGTTTTGTCTTGATTGTACACACCTGGTTCCCATCACGTTATGATTATTTCCCTATTTAACCCTCCGCTTCCCTCATGGTTTTGTGCGTGATTGTTCTATGTTTGGTGTTGTATACTGCTGTGAGCTGTTTTATTTCCCTGCGTGGAAATTAGATTTGTTGTTTTCAGAGTAAAGTTCGTTATTTACTCAGTTCTGTGTCCTGTGCCTGACTCCGTCCTACCACTGCACACTGACACCTGACACTAAGATCCCTCCCAATGTGTTCTTCAATCTCATAAAACATTATAGAAAAAGACTAAGTGCTGTCATCCTCACGAGGGGAGGGTACACAAAGTATTGAAAACAGGGATGCCAATCATTTGGACACCTATCTTTAAAAAATATATATATAACTCTTTTTTTTGTTGATGTTTTTATTACAGTCTTTTTTGCTCATCTTTATCAAGGGCGCCAATCATTTCGGATGTGACTGTAAATGCTAATGGTACAGTGTTATTACAGTATACTTCACAATGGCATCGTGTTAGCAAGTATTACTACACATTACAATATCAGTAGTTAAATGCCTATTGGTCTATATTCCTGTATGAATGTTGAGTTTTTTTCTCTTTCATTTTAACAGGATCGTGTGAGAATTTCCATCCAGGAGGGAGTCATTTCAAATAGCCGGATTTTCCTCAATAAATTACACTCTCAGAATCAGAGATTGTCACTCAGTATCCTTTTTGCTATGTTTGACGCAATGACAACTATTACTAAGTGTTATTGAACTTTGCCCACTTCAGTTTAGTGTTGTTCTTAACTGTCACCAGATGCCTTTGAGTACTTCATGTTTTATTTTGCATCAAGTGTCATTACACAGAGGGTAGGCCTAAGTGTTATTCCATTTCATTTGTTTCAAATAAAATTATTAATAAAGTCAATCCATTGCCAATGCTATCTCGTTTTGTAACCTGAGTGTTCTCTGTTTTTAATTGTTAAATTAGGATCACCCTTCAGGGCATCAAACCTCCATCTCTAACAGCGTCTACTTTGCCTTGGTGGATGCATATCTCATACACTTCCTCCCTACAGAAGGATCCCCTCACTCAGATGTCAAAGGCACCTTGACCTCACACATTCCAAGGTGCAGTATAACTAGTCTATGCCTTTCACAATGCATTATAAGACCAGCACATAATCTATCAATGTTGGGCAAATATGAAATATAATATTTGATAACGCTTGTTTTGATGGTTCCCAAGGTCCTCTAGGTATAGTGAAACAAACAAAGGCCTGTTGAAACGCCAGTGCCCTGTTAACGCTGAGACAACCAATCAGGGGATCTGGAGATCAGGGACTATGCTACAGGTGATTGAGAAAAATCTGGGTTGGACAGAGACACTTTTAATACAGCAATCTTGGCTTGTCTCGCAAAGGTGCAGTTGCTGAGTCATTGTATGGCCTTGTTCATTGTCCCTGCTTTAGATATTTCTGGAGATATGGCTGCCACATTTCCCGTTGGAGACACACCAGAAGCTTAATGAGGTCTTTCCTATCTTCCTTCGATGACTCATTTTTCATGACTAACATGCACTTTTATTCACATTGTTAATCTAATGGATTCAGAATGCTACATTTGAATGATAAGCACTTGTCTGTAAACCTGCAGGTCTCTGTCATCACAGAGGAGCACATGCTGGTGGTGAGACTGCTGGTGAAGCACATGCATGCCCTCTCTGGAAACACAAAACTAGACCAGACTGATATCTTACCTTCTGCCACCTCAGAAACCTATCTCTCAGAAGATTTAAAAAGGTGAATACCCACTTTAGTGTTTTTTACAATGATGATGATGATGATGATATTAACAATATGTTGTTATTCAAACCCAGAGTGGTCACATCAGAATATGTACAGAGGTTGTACCTTCTCTTGCTGCACTGCTTCAAACAGTGGCCTATGGAGACGTCCTTCAGAGCAGTGAGTGCACACTTAAGTTCTACATTGGATTTACATTTGGTCTGTCTTTGGCATTTGGCCATGTTATTGCTTAATTTGCAGTGTTTCTAGCTGGTTTTGGAAGGTATGCTACTGTAGGGGTTCTGAATGTATGTATAAGAGAAGTGGTTTTGAATTAGCCGTTTCTCGATACAGGTATTGGAGACGTGGCTTATTTACATCCAGCCCTGGAGATACCAAAAACATGTCCACAGTGAAAGCAAAGAGAAATGGTAAGATATTTTGAACATGCTGAATAGTGTTATAGTTCAGACACAGCAGTGAGTTGAAAAGGACGTTTGCTAACATAAAGCTGTCTCTGTCTCTTAGGGCCTCTTTCATTCAGGAGAATATTCTCATGTACACCAAACTATTCAGCTGCTTCTTGAAAAGATTTGCACATGTTGACCTCGTCAACATCGACAATGCAACCATGGTTTTCAGGATGGCAAAAGTATTTGCCCAACCCAATCTTCCAGAATTGATTGAAAATGGTAACCACAATTATTCTTAGTTGAAGGGCACTGTGACTCAATCACAATTAACAACATTAGGCCTCTCAAAATTTGTTTTCAAATTTGTTTTCTCCATAAATGTTGTTTACAGGAGAAAGACTGTTATTGCATCAGGGTCCCCTCTTCCCACCCACTCTGATGGCATCTCAGGTGCAGCCCACTGAAATAGCTGCTCTGCCCCTGCCCAAGACTCACATCAATAACAAGAACCTACAGATGTTTGGGGTAGAAATGCGAGCTGAGGTAAGTCCCATGAAGAACAAGTGAATGACAGGAAATACCATTTGACTGAGGGTGCTGCAATCTACCAAATATAGAGAGTGGTCACAAATGCTTTCCTATATTCTGAACATTGTAGGTGCTGAAACTGGTCCAGAGACTAATGCAGGCCCAACAGACTGCAAAAACAATGTTGGATCAGCCAGGCAATGTATCAGTTGGTCAGTTTCTCTGTTCCTGGATGAGGTTGATTCCTAAAACCAACTCAGAAAGTGGGAGGAATGACATGACCAAGTCTGACATGAAGACCGTGGAGCTACTAAAGAAAGCTGTGGAACACCTCAATCATGTTTTCAACGTGAGAAGATTATATGACATTGGTTATTATTATCAAGAAGTAGTAACCAATGTTAAAGTGATGTCTCACATCAGTTTTGGTGTTTTGTAGCTCAACACAGGTCATCTATCTCAGATGATGATGAACATGGGGTCAGTGGAGGAATCCAAACAGCTCCCTGACTGTATTCAGAGTGAAACCGGGCTGATCCTGACAGACCTTGGCAGAATGCAGGTGAGAATAACTACTAAAATAAAAATGAATGATGTGCATATGGTGCAATACGTAATTGTAAATTGTAATTGTGTTCTATTGCAGATTATCAATGGCCTTCGCAGATTTGATATTGAGTATCAAGGGGACCCACAGCTGCAGCCTGTGAGAAGCTATGAAAATGCAGTCTTGGTGCAGCTTATGTTTTGGATCGCCACACTAATCAATAACAGAGTAAGTAGGTGGATCTTACCAGGGGCGTCATGCACCCCAAAAATCTGAGGGGGCACAAAGTACGTGAGGATGGCTGGGGGGTGGAAGTTGGAGAATTTGGTATTTTTCAAACACCTGAAACATATTTTTCCTGCTATCTAGAGCCATAATCATCATGCTTAATTATATAGCATATCTAAGCATACCTCTTAAGCATACCTCTGCTAAAATCTGGGTAAAAGATTGAAAGGAATGTGAGTCTTATTCAGTACATTTAGTAATTGCTTGCTTTTCTAAAGTGTACCAACCTTGCCAGCAGTCATGCCAACTAAAATAGTTAGACAAGCTAGCTACTCTAACTTGATTGATATCCTGAAATGGCTTATTGGTAGCTAGTTATGAGGTTGGGAGATTGGGAACCTATCTGCTACTTATCCAACTTAATAAAATTGCTAGTTGGCTAGTAGTATTACAGAGAAACAACCACAAAAAATGTGTTGAAAAAAAAACTTTTTTTATAATTTTTTATTTTGTATTTTACAGGACAAATCTGAGGGGCACGTGCCCCTGTGCCCGCTATGGGCATGATGCCTTTGGGTCTTACTTTATATGCAATTTAATGTTTCTATAATGATTACTAAAAACATTAGGAACACCTGCTCTTTCCATGAAATAGACTGACCAGGTGAATCCAGGGGAAAGCTATGATCCCTTATTGATGTCACTTGTTAAATCCACTTCAATCAGTGTAAATGAAGGGGAGAAGACAGGTTAAAGAAGGATTTTTAAGCCTTAAGACAATTGAGACATGCATTTTGTATGTGTGCCATTCAGAGGGTGAATTGGCAAAACAAAATATTTAAGTGCCTTTGAACTGGGTATGGTAGTAGGTGCCAGATACACCGGTTTGAGTGTGTCAAGAACTGCAACGATTCTGGGTTTTTCACGCTCAATAGTTTCCTGTGTGTATCAAGAATGGTCCACCACCCAAAGGGCATCCAGCCAACTTGACACAACTGTGGGAAACATTGGCGTCAACATGGGCCAGCATCCCTGTGGAAGCCTTTCAATACCTTGTAGAGTCCATGCCCTGACGAATTGAGGCTGTTCTGAGAGCAAAAGGGGGTGCAACTCAATATTAGGAAAGTGTTCTTAATGTTTTGTATAATCAGTGCATATGGCATACAGTAGGCCTACCTATAACGATTGGTAGTAGTACAGGGATTGTACATGTATTGACTAAATGACTTGAGAATTTTGTCCTGCAGCTTGAAGGACACATGAACGATCTATGCTCACAACATAACCTGTTGGGAAGGCTGGGACAACACTACCTTATCACCTCCACTGTAAAAGGAAGGTTCCCAAAGAGTACAGTGACACAGCAAAGCCAGGAGGACTACCACCTGCGGCCACGCCTTAGCCTGCGCACATTTTCCAGTTATCGCACATTACTCATTCTCCTCTTACTCTACTCGCTGGGATCTCTGTTTTCTATTAGCCCACTGCTCAGCACATGCCTCATCTTAATGGTGAGCTTTTTGTATGGACTGTGCATGACTGTCTACGTGGGAAAGTAAAAAACGTTCTTCTGGGTAAGTGTGTGTGTGTTATACCTAATACAATTATGTTGAACACACCAATTGACTGATAATTAGGGGTTCATGGTGATTTCTTATTGTTTTCCTTGACATGGTCAAATAACTCAAGCATAGACTGGTAACTTTTTTCAAATTTGGCACACAGAAACTAGAGACCATGAGTAACATGTTAAAAAAGAATGGCACTCATTGGCCTATAGTTGGCGCTATTATAACCAGTCTAACTTAAACCCTCATATCCGTCGCCCCGTTTGACCTAGAGACTTGATACTTTGTACGTAAATGTCTTTCCTCAATCTACACACGATACCCCATAATGACAAAGCGAAAACAGGTTTTTTGAAATGTTAGCAAATGTATTAAAAACAATAAACAGAAATACCGTATTCACATAAGTATTCAGACCCTTTGCTATGAGACTCGAAATTAAGCTCAGGTGCATTCTGTTTCCATTGATCATCTTTGAGATGTTTCTACAACTTGATTGGGGTCCCCCTGTGTTAAATTCAATTGATTGGACATGATTTGGAAAGGCACACACCTGTCTATATACGGTCCCACAGTTGACAGTGCATGTCAGAGCAAAAACCAAGCCATGAGGTCAAAATAATTGTCCATAGAGCTCTGAGACAGGATTGTGTCGAGGCACAGATCTGGGGAAGGGTACCAAAAATTTCTGCAGCATTGAAGGTCCCCAAGAACACAGTGGCCTCAATCATTCTTAAATGGAAGAGGTTTGGAACCACCAAGACTCTTCCTAGAGCTGCCCGCCCGGCCAAACTGAGCAATCGAGGGAGAAGGGCCTTGGTCAGGGAGGTGACCAAGAACCCAATGGTCACTCTGACAGAGCTCCAGAGTTCCTCTGCAGAGATGGGAGAAACTTCCAGAAGGACAACCATCTCTGCAGCACTCCACCAATCAAGCTTTATGGTAGAGTGGCCAGACAGAAGCCACTCCTCAGTAAAAGGCACATGACAGCCCGCTTGGAGTTTGCCAAAAGGCACCTAAAGGACTCTCAGACCATGAGAAACAAGATTCTCTGGTCTGATGAAACCAAGATTGAACTCTTTGGCCTGAATGCCAAGCGTCACATCTGGAGGAAACCATCCCTACGGTGAAGCATGTTGGTGGCAGCATCATGCTGTGGGGATGTTTTTCAGCGGCAGGGACTGGGAGAATATTCAGGATCGGGGGAAGATGAACGGAGCAAAGTACAGAGAAATCCTTGATGAAAACTTGCTCCAGAGCACTCAGGACCTCAGACTGGGGTGAAAGTTCACCTTCCAACAGGACAACGACCCTAAGCACACAGCCAAGACAACGCAGGAGTGGCATCGGGACAAGTCTCTGAATGTCCTTGTGTGGCCAAGCCAGAGCCTGGACTTGAACCCAATCGAATATCTCTTGAGAGACCTGAAAATAGCTGTGCAGTGACGCTCCCCATCCAACCTGACAGAGCTTGAGAGGATCTGCAGAGAAGAATGGGAGAAACTCCCCAAATACAGGTGTGCCAAGCTTGTAGCATCATACCCAAGAAGACTCGCGGCTATAATCGCTGCCAAAGGTGCTTCAACAAAGTTCTGAGTAAAGGGTCTGAATACTTATGTAAATGTGATGTTTCCGTTTTTTATGTTTTATAAATTAGCAAAAAAAAAGTTGTAATACTGTTTTTGCTTTGTCATCATGGGGTATTGTGTGTAGATTGATGAGAGGGGAAAAAACAATTTAATCCATTTTAGAATAAGGCTGTAATGTAACAAAATGTGGAAAAAGTCAAGGGGTCTGAATACTTTCCGAATGCACTGTCTCTTAACTTAGTTTGAGAAAAGCTAAGGGATTGGTTAAGCGATGGTTGAGTTATTCATAAATCAGGAAATCAGATTTTACATGTCCATTTTAATCCTTTGTAAATCCACTCCACAATGGCCTATCAACTTGAAACTTTTTAGAGTCATCAAAGACTACCATGATGATTCATGACATTTGAAATAAGGAAACGATTAACAATTAACTTTTTTGACTATGTAATGAGTAAAGATGCCATTGACACCAGCGGCACCATAGGATACTAGAGCAATAACTATTGATCAAGTGGACTTTGTCTCATGCAAACGAATGTTAGGTTTGAATTATGCAGACAAACAATGTGAAATATTGTGATTAGCACAAAGTAGATGTCCTAACTGACTTGTGGTTGAAAAATGAGTTTTAATGACTCCAACCTAAGTGTATGTAAACTTCCGACTTCAACTGTATATATATATATATATATATATATGTGTGTGTGTGTGTGTGTGTTTTTATCTAAAATATAACATATATTTTGATTTGTTTAACACTTTTTTGGTTACCACATGATTCCATATGTGCTATTTCATAGTTTTGATGTCTTCACTATTATTCTACAATGTCGAAAATAGTAAAAAATAAATAAATAAAAACTCTTGAATGAGTAGGTGTGTCCAAACTTTTGACTGGTACTGTACATCGATCACTACAACTTGCATAGAAAAAGTACTGGAATTTACCAGAAGTGGAACTAGGAACGTTTTAGCACCACCAACATGTTACTGGGGAAGGGAAAATACGAAAAACCTTTGTGGGCGTGTTTACTTCCTGTTTTGAAGGTAAGCTAGTATTGCAGCTTGAAGGCAGCGCGTTGGATCATTTAGAAGCAAAACAAAATAGCTAGTTAGCTAGCTTGCAAGTTTTGCCGTCATGTCAAATCTTGTTCTGTCGTTCTGCTCCAGGTAACACAAATTATGAACTAACTGTAGCAATGTCTGCTGATGCTCACAGCTAACGTTAGCTAGCCAAATCGTATTTAGCTTTCAATGTTGGCTTTAAAGACGGTAGCTAACTAGCCATATACCTACCAAATATTAATTTGTCGGTATATTAGCTAGATCGCATGTGGCAATAATTGTTAAGTTTGCGCTCACAACTTGCAGATAAAAGCTAGCTATGCATAATTCTGCACTTTTGTTTGGGGCGTATACAAATCCCAGAGACCACCCTTGACAACTGTCTGAGACTTTCAGATAAGCACTATCTATAAAATAATTTATAAAACTTATACAACTGTTTAGCTAATGCCCTTCCCTTTGGGTGTAACGTGTCCAGTGTTCTAGCGCAAGCAGCAGAGAGTGGCACATCGGCCAGGAGCATGCCTTTTCCTCCATGGCTTTCGCAGGATTATATATGAGTATCAGCCACTGGTGGACGCCGTGCTGTGTGTTGTTGGGCTGGAGGAAGGGACAAGCACTGAAGAGAGGTGAGTGTGCGTTATGTGATGCTGTGAGTCTGGTTTGTGATGTGACTGCTATAGTAATTTGCACTGACACTCAAGTTCCACAATGTCAATCGATTTGGCAATGTGTAAGCTTAAACATCTCTTGTGTATTTATCTGTATTTGTCTTTCTTCTTCTTCTCATTGGATTTACAGGAGCCGAAGCCCTGAGGATGAGGACAGTCTATGTGGGTCTTTAGTGGAGCTGCTGGAGAAGGAGTCCCAGTCAGCTGTGTTTGAGGAGGGGATCAGCTATGCTCTGTTTAAGGTTGCTGAACGGGGACTGGTCTGTGCAGCAGAAGTCCTGCTACGATATGGAGCAGATCTCAACTTTGAGGGTGAGAGGAATGACTTGTTGTCATTCAAATATTAGGAGACTATTTGTCTATATATTTTACTGACCTAAATATAATTTTATTCCCAGACCCTGTGTCTTATTACAACCCACTGCACATTGCTGTACTGAGGAGCAGGCCGAGTATGGTGAGGTTGCTGGCTGGACATGGAGCTGACATTGACAAGCGAGATAGGGTGAGTACAACCGGTAGCAAGAACTTATAGCTGCAAAACGTAATACGGTTGTGTCCTTATTGCAGTGCATTTCTTGCTCTGTATACAGAATGTGTTGTTATGGCTGTCTGTAACACAGTGTACTGTATCTTTTGCAGATCCATGAAAGTAGCCCTTTGGATCTCGCTAGTGAAGAGGCAGAGAGACTGCCTTGTATGCGCACACTGCTGGACATGGGTGCTGACATGAATGCAAGAGATAAAAATGGTGAGTTGACATTTTGACCTGTATTTACTGTATATCCTGTATTTCAACACTGCCTTTTTGATCTTGTCCCCAAAGGAAAATCACCCTTGCTACATGCCCTAGCTAGCAGTGATGGACTAACTGTGCATAACACAGAAAACATCCGGCTGCTACTCCAGAGAGGTACTGTGCTATAAAATAACCTTAAAAAATCCACTATGCAGAAATCGCTCCGCCATTTCCTGGTTGCAAAAATTCTAAAAGTTGTTCTAATTTCAGTTTATGTGACAAAACAAGCAAGTATAGTGTAGAGAATCATTGTACCATCTGTGAAATATATTTTCCATAACCTAAAATATTTTATTTTCAGCTTTTTGAAGCTGATTGAAACCGAAAGTAAAAGACACACAAACGAAACTTAAGAACGGGAAGCATAGAAATAGCACACATGGATAGAACATACAGTGCTATGAAAAAGTATTTGCCCCCTTTCTAATTTTCTCTACTTTTGCATATTTGTGATACTGAATGTTATCAGATCTTCAACCAAAACCTAATATTAGATAAAGGGAACATAAGTGAACAAATAACACAACAATTACATATTTATTTCATTTATTTCATAAACAAAGTTATGCAACACCCAATTCCTCTTTGTGAAAAAGTAATTGCCCCCTTACACTCAATAACTTACTGTGGAATGCAGTGTTTGGTTTTCGCCTGGCATAACGGGACCCATCTCGTCCAAAAAGTTTGCCAAAAAGCACCTGGATGATCATCAAGACTCTTGGAAGAATGCTCTATGGACAGATGATTCAAAAGTATAACTTTTTGGACGACATGGTTCCAGTAATGCCTGGCGAAAACCAAACTCTGCATTCCACAGTAAGAACATCATACCAAAGGTCAAGCATGGTGGTGGTGGTGTGATGGTTTGGGGATGCTTTGCTGCCTCAGGACCTGGACGACTTGCCTTAATAGAAGGAACCATGAATTCTGCTCTGTATCAGAGAATTCTACAGGAGAATGTCAGACCATCCGTCTGTGAGCTGAAGCTGAAGCGAAGCTGGGTCATGCAGCAAGACAATGATCCAAAACACACAATCAAGTCTACATGAAAATGCTAAAAAGCAACAAATTTGAAGTTTTGGAATGGCCTAGTCAAAGTCCAGACCTAATCCCCAATTGAGATGTTGTGACAGGACTTGAAACGAGCAGTTCATGCTTGAAAACCCACACGTCACTGAGTTAAAGAAGTTCTGCATGGAAGATTGGGCCAAAATTCCTCCACAGCGACGTGAGAGACTGATCAACAACTACAGGAAACATTTGGTTGGAGTCATTGCAGCTAAAGGTGGCACAACCAGTTAATGAGTGTAAGGGGGCAATTACTTTTTCACACAGGGGAATTGGGTGTTGCATAACTTTGTTTATGAAATAAATATGTAATTGTTGTGTTATTTGTTCACTTATGTTCCCTTTATCTAATATTAGGTTTTGGTTTGAAGATCTGATAACATTCAGTATCACAAATATGCAAAAGTAGAGAAAATTAGAAAGGGGGCAAATACTTTTTCATAGCACTGTATCTACTGCTTCTTACACTTGCTTTCAATTAGAATGACAGATCTATAACACACATTTCTATGTGAATTTGGTCAGGTTGCCCAAAAAGTTAGATATTGCCGCTTTAATTTGGAGTAGGCTTATGGGCATTTATCAGTAAGACAGAAATATTAAACATCAACAAGAGCAGGGTATGTCCAAACGTATTTATATTTAGGAAACGTGTTGTTTGTTCCCCTCCTAAGGTGCAGACGTCCATGCTGCCACATTGGATGGAGAGACGGCTGTATCCCCGCTGGTCTTTCTGGTGAAGGAGGCTCTGGAGGCCTCTGTGGAGGATGCAGCTGAGATCGGCCGCTTCTGTCTGAGGGCCACGCGGCTGCTGCTGGCCTACGGGGCTGACCCCAGCTGCTGCCTTGCCCCCGACGGGGAGGAGGATGGGGAGCCCTCCCTGACTGTGACCAGCCTGGAGCACTTTGATCGTCTCTTTCCCCTGGCAGTGCTGCTGCTGCAGAGTGGAGCCTCATTCCACTGTTCTCGCCACGGAGCCTCCTGCTGGACAGGCTACAAGCTGGTGTTCCAGAGGCTCCAGACGGCCCTGCTGGACTGTTCTGATGCAGGGCAGGCGGCTGAGCTCCTGGAGCAGGCTGAGGTCCTCCTGGACTTGGCCCGGGTGTCCTCCCCCAGTCTGGCCCTGCCCCTGGACCTGCCTATGCCAGACCAAGACCCCAATGCTCAGACATTGCGGGACCTCCATCGGCGTGTGGTGGAGCAGGAGACCAGCCCTCCCCCCCTGCGCTGCCTCTGCAGGGCCTTCATCAGGGGCCACCTGCAGCCCTGGCCCCTGGATGACAGGGTGAAGGCTCTGCCCTTACCTGACAGACTGAAGGAGTACCTACTTCCTGAACACACCCTGAGCCCCAAGCCAGGATGGGACTGCTTCAAGCCACAGCATACCCTACGTTGACGACACATGTTCTTACACTATGGCAACTGGGGATGACACAAGGATTAATTGACCTTTTATTATTTTGTAATTATTTGGTGTTAGGACACCAATCTATCAATGTACTCAGAACCTGCCATTGAGGCCTTTGTTTTGTTGTTCAAGTGTGTGTGTGTGCGCGCCAAATCATACAGACAAATAATCTGTATATGTTTACTATCACGAGATCAAGATCACTTATACTCAGACATTTCTTAAGAATAAGTTGTGTAACTTCCATACATTTGCACTGCTGGAAGGGTGCAGATAAGTATTTTTGTTAAATATTAACAGAAAAGTTTGGACTTTGTCATCTGAATAAAACAATCAGGATCAGTTATTCTGCATCTTTTTTCCATGTCAGCGACAACAGTTGAAGTATAGTGATGGGCCGCAAGATGGCAGTGTTGTTCTTTGTAGCAGGTAGTTGCTAAAAAAGAGATCCAATTACAATTTATATTATATATTCAAGTGTTCTTGACACAATCAGAAATCTTCTATTAATACTTCAAACACATTTTTATATCCGATACACATTTCATGTATTTTGTTTGTATTCATGAGCCATTGAAGCTTCACATCAACCTTCTCTCTACGTGTTTGCTCATGAATTGTGCTTGGATTGTTTCCTTATTTATTTTAATAGCATTGACACATTTTTGACAATTAACACATTACAGCATGGCAGTGTATGGTGCCTATGGGAGTCGGTGGAGTCGGAGGACTTGGTGTTGCTACAGAGTCAGAAGGTTGTGCTGAACGGCAGCCTGATTCTATTGAAAGCTACAGGGCAGATCAGCCTGGCACAGAAGGTTATCTTTTTTTCACTAATTGGTCTTTTGACCAATCAGATCAGCTTAGAAAAAAGATCTGACGTGAAAAAATCTGATGTGATTAGTCAAAAGACCAATTAGTGGAAAAAATATCAGAATTGGGCTGCCTGTAAATGCAGCCTAAGAGACTGGATTGCAGTGTACGTGTCTGTGTGTTTCAGGTGGTTAATTAGCAGTGCTTGGAGTATCTGTTGTGTTGATTTACCCTGACCCTAAAGACTCAAAGTACTACTGAACTATACGGACATGTAAGAAAACACACGCCTACTTTAATTTTCTCTCAGCAAATATTGGAAAGCGATTGCTACTAAGTGTACTGTAACCAAGAAGCCAGATGATGGCAGTGTTACACAATGGGGAGAGAGACCAGTGGTTGATTTGGTTCCACTGACTACATCTACAAACTCCACAATATCCACTGCCTTTTTAGGAAATAGTTGTGTGGTAGATGGAATCCTTTACGCTCACTTTCTTTTTACGTCATTTAGAATATCCCATGTTCTACACACAGCTCATTTTAGTACATCACAATGCATACATTGATTTCTTGCCAATGCAGATTTTGTTGCAGATTTTGATCTAAATGTTTCTGTCAGGTTTGAGAATACAGATATGCAGTATTCAACATATGCACACATGCACTGCAGTTCTACCAACAGCTGCTGTGGATGGTAGTGTAATTGGAGAAGTCTTGGTTGAGTAGTGGTTTTCTGTGGGACACAATGGAGCTGTGATGACTGTCTGCTGGTGTGGAAAGGTTATACAGAGTTTATGCTGAAGCAAATCAGGTGTGATTCACACACCATCTCAGTCTTTCTGTATGGTTCATTCACCCATCTTAGGCCAATGCAGTTACATTGAAGCCACTGACTGTTCAAGCCGTGCATGGACAGATGCTACTAAAGAGAGTCATTATTTTAATGCAGCTTTAGCAGAGTGTGTATGAATGTGTTTGAGAGAGAGACTAGCAAACTAAATAGGACAGTGTGTTACACAACTAACCCCCTCCTGACATTGCTGGCTGGGGCTGGAGTGGCTGCCTGGCTCGCAGACAAGCACATTGACTCCTCTTCTTTATCTAGGTCATAGCCTCTGAAGAGAGGAGGCAGCTACAGCTCCACACGCACTTCACTCTCCTGTCTGTCTGAATCTCTCCACACGCACTGACGAAACCCCAACATCAGCCGCCAGGGAGAGGGAGTGGGGTGGAGGTTTGGATTAGAGGAAAAAAATATTTGAGAGAGAACAGTAGGGTAACTTGGGGGAAAACGCCCCCCGTAAGGGACATTTCTATTTTCGGACAGAAAAAAGCTATGTATGGTACGATTTAGATATGTGCATAGTGGCTATCTTTAGGCAAACATATTTTGAAGGGAAATAAGTAGGCAGAATAAAATAAATGTAGAAGATTAGTGTGTTAAAATGTATATGTTTTATTTGGGCATTTTTGAGTAATTGACTCTTAAAAGCTAAAGTCTAGGTATCATATTTTAATTAAATCAAATATCGGGAAAAAAAATGGCATTGCACATCTCTTGTTTTACCACAAACATACTCATTTTAAATTGTACTACTTTATTAAAAACTGCTTTAGAAAATATATTCTAACCAAGTGGATTATTTATCTTTAGCTTCCCCTACTGGTGAATATACAAATGTTTATAGATCTAACTTTTTCTAAATTATACATTTATTTGATCAATATACCTCAAAATCGTTGGGGTGACTTAAAAAGTTGAGATGAGACAGATAAGATTTTTAGTTGAGCAAGAATAGTGGAATCTAGGGAAAGTGTCAAATGTGGTGACAGTGGTTTCTGTAAGAATTACAGGAGGGGGGTGTATAACCCTGGGGGGCATTTAACCCCAAGCTACCCCACTGTAGAGGAAACTGACACAGTATTACAGAGAAAGGGATGGGGAACAAGGGACATACAGTAAAGGATATGATTGCTTTTTTTGATACAGTAGAGATACATTTGATCAACTTGGTTTGCAGTCTTTTTACTGTCTTGTGTTTCATGTTCCCCAAACCCTGGCCTCAAACCAACCTCAGACTTCCACTAGACATGCGTTGGGATCATCACACATTAGCAGGTGTGTGATTTGAGAAGGAGAGCTCATTTGGTGGTGTATACATGGACTGTAAAGGCCACCAGGGAGAGTTGGCAAGGCATAACTTACCCCAGCCAACAATCATGCCGAGGCAGATACATAGCATTCCCCAATGATGAACCAATGCTGCCAGCAAAAGGTGATAAAACCAAGAGAGAGGAGCCAAGCCTCTTTACCTGTCATTTATTGAAAAACAATGTGGCTGAATCTCACCACTGAAATTAGTTATTGATCTATTCTCTCCCCCAAGCTCAGGGTCTGTACAACCCCATCTGCTCATTCTCTCACTCCTTATTTCACTCTACCTTCTTTCTTTCCCTGACAGTGCATCATCTTTTCTTTTCTTATTCTTAGGAATGTTTCCCATTCCTTTGTCCTGCGCCATCCCTCTCTGTACACATTTCAATTTGTTTAATTATTGTCACTTATTCAGTTATTTCTCTCTGCTCTCAACCACCCATTTGAATGTTACCTGTGTCTCTGCATCTGCTTATTCTCCCATCAATATTTTCCTCTCATCCTTTCAGCCCTCCACCTCAGCTGCTGTAGCCGTGTCCCAGGGAGGTTGTAAAGATGGAGAAGAGGTTTCTGGGTAGGCCTATATACAGCAGGGATTGTTTGGTGAATCTGAGCTCTAATCGTTTTTTATAATGTTCTGACTGTTCACACATACCTCAAACTGTCAGCAGCATTACAACACATTGAGAAGATGACGGGTAAAGCCATTGTGGGATTTGAAGCTATGAGAATTAGATAGTTTATTCTCCAGTATGCAATTACGAATAACAAAGTGCTTAGATATTATTGTTATGCCCTGTGGTAACAGTGTTATAACCTGTGGTAACACAAGGCCTACCTACCTATCAGTGTAATGTAATAGTAAATTACTGCAGGTTACACTTTGGATTGCAAACAAACTGTCAAGAAGGAAAGAGATTTAGAAGTTGGGATTCTGGGAGGACAATGTAAGAAGGGGAATAAGAAAAGGCAACAACCTGGCCACTAAAATAAACCATTCTGCTGTATCTGCTTGGAAAATGGGATAGAAAGAAACCTTAAGGGTTACATTCGTTACAAAATACAGTCAAGTTGTGCACCGACATGACAATGTTCTCACTCCTCTCCTATTCCTCTACAGTACCTCTACCTTGGTCTTTCTTCTTCAGTGAAATCAAACGACTGTTGACATCAGTAAATGAAACTGGAGCTTGTTGAGAATTGTGGGATATTCATACTCCGTGAACCTGTTTCGGTAAGTCAACCCTACATGGCCTGTTTAGAATCAGTTCCCCTCTATTTGAAAAAGTAATCTCAATAAAACTGTGATCAGCTTTGTGCAGAGCCCATTCTATTGTAATAGTGAAGTTTACATTTTTGTGCTCTATAGAAGATTTGAGGGTTGGTGTTCCTACTGTTGCCTTTCAGATGTTCAAGCATATAATATGCAGACAGAAAAACAACAACATTAAAATAATGATGAAACAATCGGTAACAGGGAAAATAGGACAGAAAATAAGTGATTATAATAATAAACTCAATACAGTGGAGCATGTCCATTATGTATAAATTAGTTCTAAATACACCTCGTCTCTCAATTGTCTGCATGATGTGGATAACATTACAATGTCACCACAATGACAAACACACACACAGACAAGCTGTTGTTGAGTGTCACGGGCAGTTGATGACACCATCATACAGCGACAGACTTGTCGTGTCATGGTTGACATTGACACAATTTTAAGTCTAAGATTGCTACAGTCCCTTGCACAAACACGGTCTCAATTTGCGTGTATGTCTTCCAACCAGCAATGTCTAGACACAAGGTAATTACAGACACCACTGAACACTCTGCTGCTCCCAAAGCCATGAAAGAGTCAGGACTGAGAACTGCCTAGGAGGAAGATGGTTAGGAGAAGACATGGGGAGAGAGATGGTTAGAAGGAGAGATGTGGAGAAACATAGGACAGAGGGCATTGGGAGGTTGATGCTGGATAGCAGTTAAGAGAGAATAGGCAAACAAACACATTATGTTAAGCAGTGTTGAGGAGTAGTGAACTACATGTAATTTAACTACAGTGTAGTTAATTTGTCACGCCCTGGCTCTGGGGACTCTTAAATGTTGAGCCAGGGTGTGGACTTGTTATGTTTAGTTTTCTATGGGTTTTGTTCTAGATCGTTTATTTCTATGTTGGCCAGGGTGGTTCCCAATCAGAGACAGCTGTAGCTCGTTGTCTCTGATTGGGGACCATACTTAGGCAGCCTGTGTTCACTAGTTTATTGTGGGATCTTGTGCCGTATGGTTTGTTGTATTACCTAGGACTTCACGTATCGTTTTGTTGTTTTTGTTCGTGTTGTGTACACTTAATAAAAGTATGTACGCCTATCACGCT